TCATAAGCCATCACGTTCTGTAGTGTAAATTTTGATACGTTGCCGCGGTTTGGCCAGTCATGTGTGAAGACAGTAAAGTCCGAGTAAGATAAGAATAACTTAGTTCCATGTCATGAAAAAGTTGGGCATCGGATATTTTGCCGACAGTATTTCGATAACAAGAATCATTCACCACTACTAAGAATTCACATCATTTACTTGTGAACACAAGGTAGTGTTGGAGAAGCAGAAACTTGTTTAGAAGATTCAAATGACTCCAGACGAGGTGCCTTCTTTTCCCCTCATAATATGGAGTGGATGACACCATTCTAACGTCCCTAGTTTTACGAAAGTGTGCTCTTAGATACCCCTCATTCATACCACCATCATATACTTACCTCTTATCACAAATTCGCCAAACTTCTTACGTGTCTGACACCACAGGATTTTATTCAAATTTCCAATTTTTTCAAACGCTAATTTGTGCAAACCTTGGAGTTTCATTGTGCGTTGGTAGCTCAACGGCAGAATGCTCGCCAACTGTGTACGGGGTCCGATTCCCAGGTGGCGCACACATATAATCCCCTAGCTGGTTGTGAGCCGAAGAGAGAGGGAAGGGCAGGCATGAGGCTAGCAATCCCACCCTGTAAAAACAACCAGTGGTACAGAAACTTCAAAGTTCAAGCTGGAAACCATGTCCTTTTCGGAACGCAAAAGGAATGAAATAAATAGTAATAAATAAAATTGAGGTTCTATATGGGTATCCGACTATCGACCAAAGGGCGTGTGTACTGCCCAACAGTCCGCTCCATCCTCCTTTATGGCTGAGAGCTGGCCAGTTGTCACTGGCGCAGATGTATTCAGTCTCTTTAACCTTCATACTCCTTTCTACCATTACTCACTCTGTTTCACTCTTATACTTGTCAAAACTCTATTGATTCTCCTCACTCATTTTCTTGTCTACCTTTGTGTGCTATTTGGAACGTGGCAACTCGAACTGCTGCACTTCGGTGCCAAGTTCTATGTTGAATCCAGACAGACAGACAGAGAGCTGGCCATTGAGAGCAGAAGACATGAAAAGATTAGCTGTCTGCGTTCTATCTCTCGCGTGAAGTGGTATAATAAGGTGAGCAATATTGAGGTTAGGCGTCGAGTGCTAGGCAATGCGGGGAAATCAGTCGACGAGACTGTGAAATTACATCGGCTGAGATGGTTAGGACATGTGTTACGTATGCCTAGTCATCGCCTTCTTCGACGGGCAATGTTAGCTGACACAGGGTCAGGTTGGAAAAGAGCCAGTGGTGGTCAAACGAAAACATAGCTTTATCAGTCAATGAAATCCACAACAGTTAGTTTAAGCCAGCTACGTGGGAAGATGTAGACTTCCTGATTGGGGTCCTAGGGACGGTAAAAGCCAGTGGTTGGAAACAATTGGTGACATGGCTCAAAATCGTTCTCAGTGGCGCAGATGCATCCACTTCTTGTGGCTTATGATTTTCCATGTTCTTCGTTATTTCTATTCCTTTGTCTCACACCTCTGTTTACTGTCTATACTATGCATTTCTCCTAATTTCTTCTCTTCCTTTGTGTGCTACATGGAGTGTGGCTACTTGAACTGCCGCACATATGTGCAAAGTTCTATGTCGAAAACCGACCGACCGATTGATAGTCCCTCCACTAACACTCGAATTCATTCTCCATAAATTCTGCTACTAACCAACATTAGCCAAATGACATCATTAACACTTCAAAGAGTTCGTACTAGGTGTCAGCATGTCCAGCGGTGCGACTGGGCAAACTCCACATGGTCGCCAGTATGCTTGGAAAGCGTCTTTCGACTTTCCTAGAACTCATTCTGTTTCAGTGCTCCACTTCTGGACATTGTGTCCAGTAGGCTGTCTCCACTTTCTTCAGATTTAAATGATTTTCGGTGAATACATTTGGTGAAGCCCACGCTGCACTGTGGATATCCTTGTGTTTGTACACATTACCTACAATCACCAAATCATCACTCGTGGAGAAGTCTGCGAAGTGCTCCCTGTCCTCAATCATTTCACTGGGCGAGCACCTCAGTCACTTCTCCCTTTATACTGTCCGATCCCACTTTTTCACTCATATCACCAATTAGAATTCACATGTTACCACACTGCAGGTTTCTTGTCCGTTACTGTTTTCCTCAAAAGTCCACCTTTCTCTCTGTGCTTGAGTTGTCTGGAGGTATGCAGCATTATTTAATGGCTTCTTTTGTTCCTTTACGTTCCCAGTAGAACATAGGGCTTCAAGCTAGAGACTTGAAGTTTCGGTAGCAGTGGGGATGGGGTTGCTAGCCTCATGCCCAACCTTCCCTCTCTACCAGTCTCACTACTGGCTTAGCGAGGTAAAGGAGTGCATTGACTGGTGGTCGAACCCCGAAACACCTGCGTGGTTGGCGAGCATTCTACCGCTGTGCCACCGACGCACATTAATTTAATATTACATTTCCTTATTTTGGAGTTAAATCTTACTGTCATGATTCTAGGAGAGCCATCGATGTTAATAGTGGTCACTTTCTCAGTGTGCTCGTGGTTGCCGTCTGGGTAACGAGGGTAGATTATTGGCTCTCCCAAAGAATCTTTTCATGGGTATTTCTCTGGATCACGATACTGAGCCAGTAATGCTATGCGCACATTTTTGTGTAGACCTTACACAAACTACACTTTTCTGATATTCACTGAAGACTATGTACACTTGGTCAGGTCAAAATAACCTTTGTGATGAAATATGTTCATCAGTTCAAAACTAGATAGCTTTCACTGCTAACATCATTTAATATTGCTTTAAATACAAGTAATCGTGTTTCCGTCAAACTTCTCAGATGCCAGATACAGGACCACAGTCCATTGTGTGAATTACTGCTAACATCATATAATGATGCTAAACCTACAAGTAATCGTGGTTACCCAAGCAATATCATCTTCAGCCCTTTGTTTCTTCTGTAAACTGTGGATCGCAGACATGTCTGTTTTTATTTCCAAACCACAGTATGAGGGATTGTAAAATGGAATAAACTACTACCAAAACGTCTGGAGCGAATAACATCACTTACGCCTGATACAACTTCACTTTCAGTGCACATAGTTACAATATTAACATGCCTATGGCACGTGAAATGCCAGAATAACTTACCACTCAGGGGCAAAATGGAGATGTCTTTGAATTCGCAGTTCGTAAGTTCCACTTGACATAAACAAGCGTATTACAGTCGGCCAAATATCACCTCGGTATAATTCACCCAAGCGATATACATTCGCCATTCTAAAATTGATGTAATTTCCTGGGCAAAAGTCTGTCGTTTACCACATCACACTGAGCCACATAAATGACACTCCCCATTTATTCTTACTTTCCCCGCGTCTTGTTTACCACTTTTTCTCACATTATCCATGTTTCGAAAAATTATTCCCACTTATGAATGGAAAATTGCCTATATTTTTACCCACTTAACCCATGTCCACGGAAAAATTCTCCGACTGAGCATGTTCTGGTTGGACTTCTCAGATACCAGGTGCAGGACCATAGTCTGTTTTTTGTTTTATATGTCTTAAGCCAGTAGTGATTATAGATCTTGCAGACTTTGCTTCTATTCACCTGCAGTCATTTCAAGCTACCGGCCACCTAATCGCAACGCCAACTTTTGAAACCCTCTCAAGAAAGTCATCATTTTTATGCACATAATTTTGATATAACCTATTAATTCGTAGTTTATACGATGGCAAGACAACTTCATTAGATGTTTATCTACTGAGAATCTCTCTTATTAATATTTGTAGTCTTCAGACAATTAACGGAATATTGTCCAGATTTAATCTTGTAGTATGATTTAATGCCAGGATTTCTCTCAAATGTTGATATTGTAGGTGTGTAGTTGTGCAAGCGTAGCTCACTCTCATGACATTTCCCCTACCAATAATGTATTTCCTAAATCAAAACAAGTGTTAACTTTGATATGTTGCGTAATTTTATCAGATATGATCGTGTCCGTAAAAAACGCCATGTTAATCATGCAAATGCTTTAAATTTATGTGAACAGAATATTATTATTAAGACAGGCTGAAAGGCGATTATATTTACAAACCAACACGCTTCCTGGAGATATTCAGTGCTTTGAATGGCATTTTAACGGTAAAGGAACCGAAATTCGACTCCATGTTTCCCAGAAGAAAGTACCGATGTTGACCGACTTAGTAGTTCATCTCTTCACATTGTGAATATTAATGATAAATTATGAAGACCGGTTATCCAGAATTTGACTAGCTATCTAAATGTCCTTCGATCACAACGCCGCAGGGATTGGGTGCAGTCGTTGAATTATCAGAAGAGAGTTCTCAGCTTCGTTGAAAGTATTTGAAAATAAAGTTCCACTTAATTAAAGACTGCATCTATCGAGTGATGTGGAATTCCATAAAGCTGAGACATCCCAAGGCTCTGTGTGCAACACTTAGTTATTGAACTTGTAAGCCTACGTGAATTACATGCTTACAAGTCTGCATTTATGAGACAGTGTAGATCTTATAGATTGCCAGGACGCTGATTTGCGAAATTTTTCCGTGTATATCATTCTTGCTTTCCACCAACCTGAGGGATGTGAGACTGAAATAAATATTTCGACCAATATACATTGGGTTTGTATGCGATAATTTTACCATCCACCCCGGCGTTTGTGACTACCATATGACGATTTTAGAGTACTGACCCTATATTGATAGCCGCCTATTTCTCAACGTTTCCAGTTGAACAGTAAATTTGATTATTTAACAAACCGAATAATCATATCTAAAGTTCAGAAAAATTAGGATATTAGAACAGGTTTGAAGAAAGAAAAAAATAATGTGGACAAAAACATGTGTTAAAGTCTATTCAAGTAAAAACTCCTCTTTAGTAAATAAGTTTGTACAATTTGGTAACCTTATGGTAAGCAATGTGTAGTATATACATGCATTCATATGTACAGTTAGCTTGTCTTTGAAATATTAAACCTAAGATCAAGAAATCAATGTATTATCAGCATTAGTTTCCGGTGACTTATGATTAGTCTGGGAAATATCTGATGAGATTAAATCTGACAATGGAAGTGATTTGGCGTTTTCAGTATCTGTAGATGACGTGGAACTAGCATCCATATCAACGCATATTCTTACACATGAATTTTGAAGTTGACATACAGTCGACGAATTGGCTTCTGCATAATTGATTGTGTCGTAACTATTTTCCGCGTGTGTTTCAACAGCAGGAATTTCCTTGTGAGTAATAAGATGGGAATCCAAAAACAAACTATGCTGCAAGCTAGTTGCTGGCATGGTGGTAGTTAAGCCATCACTTGAGGAGAGATTTTTAGTACTATCTTCTCCTGCATTTAAAATTACTTTATTTTGTACAACAATTCGATCATGTGAAGAACTTAGAGAGTATGAAGAGGCAGCGCTGAGAGCAGTTTTCAAAAGTGACGTTGAACTATCACTTGGAGCTTCAGATGTTTGCCCACTTTTTACGTGAACAAAGCAATCTGATTTAAGATCGCTTAAACTAGAGAAACTAGAGCAAACAACATCATCTACAACTTTGACATTTGAAGCACATTCATCAGAGAGCGCCTGTCCTTCAGAAGGTTTGGTAGCGACCAGTGCAACTTGACCAATTGACTGGTTATCACTGGGTGCTGTAATATTTTCACAAGGAGTTGACGTTGAAACAGATGACGGTAATGAGTCACAAATTATGACATCATCAAGTTCATTATTCAGTGAGGAATTCTGTTGTGGAATTATTGTTGAACTCGGTGCGGAAACAGTGACTTCAGAAGCGGATACAGAAGTATTATAAAATGATGTTTCACAAGAATCTGCTGTCAACGTTACATCGACAGGGTTTGACAAATTTGAAGTGTTTACAGAATTTATGTTTCCATTTTTAATGCATGATATTTGTACGTCAGTAATAAGTGAAACATGTTCATTATCAGTAGGGAGTACAGGGCCATTTGTATTGCTATTACAAGAAGTAACTGTATCGTCATCCATAAGAAGATCAAGTAGACAAGGTTCAAGGTGTTCTGTATCAACTTCATCAGATTTTGGAGTAGGAGGATCGATCTAGAATGAAAATAGAGAAAATTTAACCAGCAAAGTACAAATTACCGTTAAATCCACTTCGTCAAACCAACTCTGAAGTAATTCAGTTTTATCATTATCATACTGAGATTGAAGAGCATAAACAGCTTGAGAGTGTAGACCGTCTGTTGCAGCATCCAAACGTTTAGCAACCCACCGACGAGCCCACCGACCGACTGGCTGGACAAATTTAAGCAAAGAAACTGCATACTCAATAAGACTTGGATCACTACTATAGACCTCGCTCAGTTGTACCAATTGCATTGGTCTGAAAAAAAAACACGACAACAACAGTCACTACATTAAATGCAAAAAGACACCTAAAGTTGATAATTATTGACAAAACTATCTCTAGAAGAATTCATTTCACAGAAAAGTCATACTTCCTTAATAAATATAACAAGATGGTGATATAAGGGGATGAATACATGAGTTTTCGATGTAGTTGTGTCCTCTGAGCTGGATAGTTTATTTACGAAGCTTTTATTGGCCTACCATGCCTTAAAATTATCCACTTGAGTTACATATCTTCTCCATTATACCTACATGAGTTTTCTTCTGGTGTACAAAGATCACTACACTAATCATATAACAATACATCAAGATCTCGATAGATACGTGTTCATTTTAAAACACTTTAATACTATTGAGATATCGATTCTTAAAAAGAAGATCACAACATGAAATGAATGCAGTATGTACAAAAATGTCTCTCAGACACATTCATATTCCGTCCCAGCATGTTTCTCAAGCTATTTAATTATCAATTAATACAGTAATATACAAACATTAGACTTTCTTATGGAAAAGTTGATAGTTTTGAGCTGAACTCATTCAGTAAAACAAAAAGTAGAGATGACCAGACTGTCTTTAAAATCGCAAAGTCAAATGACTAATCATCTTTTATAACTTTAACTAATTGGGTCAGGTGGCTTTAGTTTATTCAACAGCAAACGTTAAACGTTTATCGGAGTAATCAAATCAACTGTAAAATAATGAAAATGATTGATGGTATTCAGATTATTGAGCACATATGAGAATGTTAAAATTAAACAGGATGGGAAAAGGAAGAAGGACCTTCATTACCCTAAAAGCACTACGGGGATCTACTGCACTAAGCATAAGGAAAGAGATACGGATATTCAGTACTAATGTTAAGTCAATTCTTCTAAATAGTTCAAAGACTTGGTACATCCCCAAAAGCATTTCCCACAGTCTGTAGACTTTTATCAGTAGCTACCTTCACAGGATACTGAAGTCCAGATGACCAATCAGAGAGGACAATCAACTAAGAACGATGGAGATGGATTGGGCATACGACAAGGAGACCGTTGAGTGAGATCATAGGCCACGCTTTCGAGTAGGACCCAATTGGAAAACGATGACTCGGGCATCTAAGGGTGACACGGAAGAGATCGTAAAAGGAGGAAATGAAAGCTTATGTGTAATCATAGACTAGTCTAAGAAAGAATGCAGATAACAGGATGTAGTAGCGATGTGATGCTTAAGCGCCAAGTTTCATTCGAAACCCACGGGAGTAATTATAATAAGGGACTAACTAAACAAAAAGGATAAAATAAAGTTCATCAATGAAATTCACATAGCAGCACGTCTGGTGTGAGGACAAATACCCGCCGATGATATCGGCTAGTGGTCACGCTTTCTTGTGAATTGGCAGAAGTTGGAGGTCATGGGCTAGCCACTGGATCGGGTCCCAGTGGCTTAATGGTTTACGAGCTCGTCTTGTAATCGAAGGGTCCTGGGTGTATACTGATGAACAGTCCAAAACTAGGACAACACAGCTGTCCAGTACTCCCAGGCTTTCCAATGGTTCTCTAACCGATATCAGCTCATGATGAACTCCTGTATATTTACAGCTTGAAGGGGAATTTTATCAATATTCCCAGTGGAGAAGTAAAATATTCAAATTACAATAAATTCAATTACAATACAGTTCAAATTACAATTACTTGACACCATAAGTAGTAGTAAGAAAGCAGCCACAATGTGTAATACAATAAAATACGACTCACTTTGCATTTCATTGAAATGTAAAATACGGTTAGCCATTATTAGTATTTAAGGGGTTTTCGCATGTGTGGCTTTTCGTTATTTAAATTATATAAACTATTGGTCTTTCACTACTTACATGTTCCTAACTTTTCACTTCTTCATGATTTTATATTTCTTTTTGTATGGCTTGATACATAAAACACAATTTTAAACTATCAATGATTCATACAAATTCGCCGTACGATGGTTAGTATATCTTTGAATTTTCGCTCGGATGAAGCCTAAAAACTGCCGAAAAAAATCTTTGGACGTAGATTTTCGCTGTGAATCAATATCAGATAGGGAATTATTAAAAGTTGAGATGTTATGACGTATTCAGCTAACCATGGTCAATGCAATTATCCACATATGTTTAAATACTTGTATAACTAGGCGTTCACTATTCCTGATTATACAACTTAATGTAGGACAATCATAAGAACATGTTTTGAGTGAAGTGGTTAAAACGGTACACTAAAATGTTTACTGAAACTGGATATATGTTGACAACTGGAAAAATGATTGAAGTGAAAACCGATAGGAACAAGAGGTGAAGCGATTCTAGAAAGTCACTACTAATTGTTGATTTGAACTGAGTAGAGAAGTACCGATTATCTTATAGTGCGAGTCAACTTGATAAAAGAAATGCATGATAAGTAAGTAATATCCTTCAAGAGTGATTATGGTGAATCCAAGCCCATTGGTATGTTGTTTCTACTCTATTTCCAACATAGCAGCTCTAGTTTTGCTCTCTTTGCATTCTTCTTTCGTCGCATAGCATTCTACAAATTTTAATTAACTTAACTACTTAATGTACAGATTGACATTTTGCCAATTTCAAATACAGTGTAAAGTTTGATTATATGAATGGCGATTTTTTTATTATTTCCTTCACGTTCCCCAGTGGAACATAGGGCTTCAAGCTAGTGGCTTGAAGTTTCTGTAGCAGTGCTTATTTTACAGGATGGTGATTAGCATCAAAATAATATTAGACACATATGGATAGAAATTTAAGACAGAATTTGAGCAATCACTTCAGGTTAGGTTGGTAAGTTTTCTAAATTTCATAGTGTTAATCATCTGTAAAAATCTTCTACCTTTTGTTCGATTCAATTTGAACATTCGACACAAAAAATAAATCAGTCAACTTACGAAAATATAGTCAGTGGGCCATGAATAGCTGTAGCGATTGGTTCATCTGAAGTATTACACTTCAATTTATGTAAATTGTCGAGAATTTCATTTTGTTGAGCTGGAAAAAGAATATTCATAACAAATGAGTAGTATGGAATGAAAGGTTTTAGAAAGTAAAGAATTTAAAAGGTTAGTATAGTATAGAACAACCATTACATAGGAAATGGTTGCTATGCCTTAGTTTTCTTGTTTATTTAAACATAAATCCAAAGAAGGCAATGGAAAATGTGCTACATAAAATTATTGGACAGTAGTAGAGAAGAAAGAGAAATAAAACAGTTGGCAGATGACAGAAAGAAACTGTCACACGGTCGCCATTGATTACGATTCTGAGCTGTATCTGATATCACCTCGAGTATTTTAACCTAATGGACTCCACCTATGGAGTTGTAATATATCAATATACAGCTAACCCACTCCTGAGCTTTTATCATCTAATCGCACGGCTACCAAACAGTAAATGTTATCGAAGTGGCCAATTTGATAGTTGTACCACATGTCGAAGCCAATGAGGCCAATATCTCAGGATGACATCATCAACCAAAATAGAGTCTTCATCCTATTTGAACATCCAATGCTAGACTGCAGAGTTATATACACGGTAACTCCAGTATATGCGAAAAACTACAAATTCGAAACTTGAGTTTCGAAGTCGTGTGATTACAATTGATATGATTATGAACAATAAATTTTGTTCGAAATGTCATCCAGTAAATAATAGTGTTTCACTGTGTGATACATCTAATACACTAACTAATATGGAACAACTTCTACAAAGCCAACAATAGTCAAGAAGCTGGGTAAATGCTCATCCTGGCTCGGAAAGTCAAGTTTGACAAGCGTAAAGCTAGACTGCACGAAGGCAAACATTGCAAATAGAACGTTTCATGGTCAGACTTATATTATGACGACGCTAGAGGTCAGTGAATCTCTCTCCAGCTTTCGATGTGCGGTTGGAAATTTTGTGTGTAACCTACGGTATATTTAGAGAGTAACAACAATCCTGTCTAAATCCACTTGCGGTTGTGTGTTTTCGCTACACTTAATGTGTTCTGTACTAGACTTTCTAAGTGTTAGTAAAATTTTACGGTATACCTCGCAATCACAGATGATTCCAGGCAGGAATCATTTCCGAATCTTATGCCTTAGTTGTCTACTGGGTAAGGTTAAGGCATTTGAAACGTAGTTCAAGCATCAATAGGGATGCACTTAGATCTAACTGAATGGTCTTTGAATAGAATGAAACGCATGTCCTAAAAGCCACTGTTATTCAGCATAAGAATAACACATTATGGATTAAATTCAAAAGGCAAGACTTACCCATAGAATAGTCGTCCATCTTTGGAATATTTAGTGCTTTCTGTTTAGTTAATAAGTCTGTGAGAAGTGGAGGGTAAGATACTTTCTGTATTTTCTCCGGTTTTGTGGTTTCTTCACTTGTTACTGTGTCATCAGTTTTATTTTGAAGTTTCTGACCATGGGAAATTGTATTGGAACGCGCATCTCGGCATTCAATAGCAGAAACTTCTCCTTCAATTGTGCACTAAATGTAGGATCGGTATAACAAATCATGTCTAGTTACAGACAAATTATCGTCAGAGTATCTTTAAAGTACCAAGCTATGAACCATATTTATTAAATGAGGCTTGGTAAATAAGAATTTATAACTGGTTATATACATGAACATAAAGAGAAGCTATCAATAGCACGAATAATTCCCAGGTTGGCTTAATAACTACTGAGAAGTATAGCAAGTACTTACAGACTGATGATAAACAGTATCGATATACAAAGGGGATGTAAACTCCATTACTGATGAAAAAAATTATCATTCATCATCACTTTGATCATATGTGCAGATGTGGCTAATTAATTTAATCAGATTCAAAACCCACTCTTAGTCAGCTTCAGCCTACACAATGAGGTCGCAGCAGCACTGCACCATGAGGATGGACACAGCAGCCTATAACCACGCAGATAAAAGACATTTTCACGGGCCTAGACAGTATTATTTTATTCATTTTGCCACTTACTAACCATGATTAATGAAATTTATAATTCCCACCATCGCAACAGTTATTATGCATAGTAATGTAGGTGCCGATATGCCAATTGCACAGGCCGATATTAATTTACCTGGGACCATTATGGGTAGAGAAGCACTGGGAAAGATGAATGTAAACGGAGACCTCTCCGTTGACTTCTGCGGCTTCAATGAACTAGTGATTGGCGGCAGCGTATACAAACACAAGGATATCCACAAGGCTACATGGGTGTCACCAGATGGGCGAACCAAAAACCAAAATGACTTCATCTCAATCTCAAGAAAGTGGAGGCGCAGCCTACTGGACACAAAAGTAAGAAGAGGAGCAGATGTTGGCTCAGACCAAGAAACACTCCAAATCAAATTAAAAACTTTCAGAGAAACAGGAGCTGCAGATAGACCACAAGCCAAGTTCAACACTCAAAATCTGAAGGACCAGGACACAAAGGATATCTTCACTGCAAGCATAAAGGACAAAGCCGAGACACAAATCAACACTAGCGAAGAGATCAGAGTTGAAAAGCACTGGGACAACCTGAAAGCGGTGTGGAGTCCAACCTGCATGGAAGTTCTAGGCAGAAAGAAGAGACAGGACAAACAATGGCTCACTACGGACACATAGAGACTAATAGAAGAGAGAAGGATGGTGAAACAAAAGATTATCCAGTGCATCGACAAGCAAAAAAAACAGGAGTTGAATGCAAGCTACAATACAATGAACAAAAGAGTAAAGAAAAGTGCCAGGGAAGACAAAAGACAATATTATGAAGCTATGGCAAGGGAAGCAGAACAAGCTGCAGGCAGAGGAGACCTCGCCACACTCTACCAAACAACTAGATTCATATCGGGGAAGAGATCGACACAAATTAAGCCAGTGAAGGATGACAATGGAAAGTCAATCACCAAACAAGTGGAGCAAAATAAACACTGGGGTGAACACTTCGAAAGACTTCTAAATCGACCGCCACCTACAACGCGCCCAATCATATCAACAGCGGAAGCGGAACTACCAGTGGACATCAACCCCCGACGAAAACAGAAGTCCTGAAGGCAATCAAGATGTTAAAAGCTGGAAAAGCAGCAGGACCAGACGGAATCCCAGCGGAAGCATTGAAAATGGACCCAGAGACATCAGCGAAATTGATGACACCACTACTGGAGAAGGTGTGGAAAGAGGGCAAGGTACCCGAGGATTGGAAGAAAGGCTACTTATTCAAACTACCAAAGAAAGGAGACTTAAGTCAATGCAAGGACTGGCGCGGAATTATGCTCCTGTCCATCCCAAGCAAAATACTAAGCCGCATCACCCTGCAGAAAATCAAACACACCCTGGATGAAGAACTTTGACCGGAAGAGGCTGGATTCAGGAGAAACAAGTCATGCATGGATCAAATCGCAACACTACAGATCACCATTGAACAGATCTTGGAATGGCAGTCACCCCTCTATCTCAACTTCATCGACTTTGAAAAGGCATTCGACAGCGTCGATCAAGAGGTGATTTGGCAACTACTTCGCTACTACGGGGTGCCGCCAACAATTATACATCTCATCCAACAGTTGTACGACAATGCTGCATGCCAAGTAATCTACAACAGGAAACTCACGGAGTCCTTCGAAGTGAGGACAGAAGTAAGACAAGGCTGCCTACTATCGCCAATGATTTTCCTGATTGCAGTAGATTGGATAATGCAACAAACAGCGGGCAATGAGGAAACAGGCATAAAATGGACTCACACAAAAAACTTGGAGGATCTGGATTTCGCCGATGGTATTTGTCTGATTTCCCACAAACTGGAAGATATGCAAGTGAAAAGCAACAATTTGGCAGAAAAAGCATCCCGAGAAGATAGGCCTTCAGGTGAACATAGAGAAAACAGAGGTGATGAAGATTCCTGGCCAACAGCGACAGCAATAAGCATAAATGGGAGAAATCTGAGAGAAGCGACCTCCTTTGCCTGCCTACCTGGGAAGCACCGTTTCAACTACAAGCAGAACTGACGAGGATAAAAAAGCAAGGAGCGGGAAAGCAAAACAAGCTTTCATTACTCTCAAGTCTGTGTGGAGGTCAACAGCACTCAGCATGAAAAATAAGATCCGAATTTTCAATTCCGATTTGAAGTCAGTGCTGCTATAGGGATCAGATACTTTGACGCGTCACGAAGGGCACTTCGAACAAACTAAAGACCTTCACCAACAGCTGTCTTCGCCCAATACTCAAGATCAGATGGATGGCCAGGAAAGATCAGCGATAGTGAGGGATCTCTGGGAGCGAACCAACCAGGAACCGATTGTGCGACTGAGTAGGATGCAGCGAGTGGGTTGTCCAAGGGTGACATGGAGGAGATGAAAGCATGTGGGCAGATGTGGAGCCGAGTGAAAACGTTGGCGGAGAATCAAATGTAATGGAGATGTTCGGCTGGAGCCCTATGTTCCTCTAGGAATTGAAGGAAACAATCATCATCAGATACCAGCAGTGGAATCCATGATGTGCAGTGAGTCCTATTAATATATGTGTAAAACTTGGACACTGTAGTAGTACGTAATTCCATATTAATTTGTTTAATAGATATATCACACAATGAAGCAGTATTACTTACCGGATGACGTTTCAAACACAATTCATTGTTCATAATCATATTAATTAATCATGATTGAAATGATTATGAACAATTAATTTTGTTCGAAACGTCATCCAGCAAATAATGCTGTTTCAATGTGTGATATATCTAATAAATAAATTAATATGGAATCGCATTGAGTTCTATTTGGTACTTGTAAGATGGATGTACTTGCATCCCAGTGGGTTATGGTGCCAACCCCAGATGACACTCATACCTTGCACTCATCGTTTCAAACACTATAGCATTACCCACTAGACCGTTAAGCCACGAGAGTCCCCTCTTGTCCAACAGGTTCAAGTCACTAATGTTTTCAGGCTAGTTTGCATTTTCCTCAAACTGATAATGTTGGACCGAAAAACTTAGTCTCTGTTCAGCTGTTGGCGTTCGTACTGGCCTCACGCCCAACACTCCCTTTTTTCAGGTTTTATTACTGGTTAGACAATGTTTAAGAGTGAGTTAGTCGCGAAGTGAGGTCTACCCTCCTGCGGCCATCGAACTACCGACGTACAGTATGGTGTCGTAGTTATTCTAATTTCTGTTTCCTTTATAATAATTGCATCTAATACATTAATACTAAGAAATAGATTATATATTGTTACCATTATGAAAATAGATAGATGTATTTTACCTATAAGTATTATTTGCTTTAGTGAAGTTTGATTTCCTTCTTTTTTGCATCATTCAACTTCGAATGAGAAACTTAGAGTGCACTTCTAAAAATGAGCACAACAAACAAGTTTAGACACTTTTAGTATTACTATTATCATTACTCCCTTGAGTACCTGAACAGAACACAGGGCTTTAACAGCACATCTTCACTTCACTTTGTTCTCTACAGTCCTCTTTAGATGACTCCACGACTACCGTTAGTTCTCATTTCCTCCTCACATGATCTCCTCCAAATCACTATAAGACCCACATGCAACTCGTATCTCCTTCGGGCTCCATTCGAGAACCTGAAGCGTACTGTCACTCAGAGGTCTCCTAAGAGTGTGTTCAATCCATCTCCGCTTCACTCTGCATATATGTTGAGCTGCAGACTGTTAGTTGGTTCGTTTCCGGAGTTCCTAGTTGATTATCCTCTCCGGCTAGCCGTATGGTTTTCAGTGTCGAGCAAGAGAAGCTGTTGATGAGTTTGAAAAATATTGTAAATGCTTTTATTGAATCGCCAAGTCTCTGAACCATGTAGAAGCACTAGTTCGACATTAGTGCTGAAGATCTGGGTGTTGTTCTTTATGCTGAGTGAAGCAGATTTTCATAATGATTCCAGAGTAGTGGAGGTTTGTCTCGTTTTTGTACTTTTGAATTTAATGTCCCCCATCTGTGCCGCTGTAGTTTTCTGCACACATCACACAGAGACACATTATTTAACGAATGATGCTGTTTAGTGTACCACTGAGAAAAATCTGAATATACTATCTTAAAAAATGAGACTTTAATCATCACAATCACTTTGCGATTTTTAAAGAAAGAGGAAAACGCAAATAAGAATCTTACATTTAAACAAACAATTTTCGGTCCAATATATTCAACATTATTTTCATTACTTGTAATATTTGCATATTTTCGTTTCAGTTTTGCAGCAGACTCTGCAGCTGCTTTTTTAGCCTGAAGGAGAACTTCATTCGATAGATTATCAACTGTTTGACGATAGTGTGATCTATCTGAGCTTTCGTCGCAACTATCATCATTGTAAACACTATCATCATCATTCACACTGTTTGCTCTATCCGAATAAACACACGAGTCTTTGTATTTATAGTGGTTGTCGATCTTAAAATGAGATAATTGTTTATTTGACTGATTGTCCCGATGCATGACTCGCTGTTTTTTAGAGATTAATGAAGCTTTACCATTAAAAGTTTTACAAGAAGATCCAGATAGTGGAGAAGATGATGCAGTCGATGGAGCTTTACTCATTAAAGCAAAATTTTCAGTATTTGAAAATTCTTTAGAATCACAATCTGGTTCAGCCTTTATTATGTAGTCAGCAACGGAGTTGTCATATTCTGATTGTGTGGTTTCTGATTTAATCATCATAGAATTCTCGGAATGAGGTTGATCACGTGATATAGCAGATACGCTATCAGGATGCATTTTAATATCTAATGTAGAAGTCTGAGATAAGACTGAAGAATCTTGAAGCTCTGAAGAAACATTTAATTTTGCACTACATACAGGAGGTTGTATGTCATCCACCCTTATTTTTCTAGGTCTACCACGACCACGTCGCTGTGGGGTAATTACTGTGGGAGATTGAATAGGGAACGATCCACTGGTGCCACTTTTAGGCGTTGACTGAATTTCTTTTGGAGGAGCACTACAATACGCTTGAAGAGCAAATAGAGTGGAAATAACAGGTAAAACAAAAATCAATAGGAATTCCGTAAAGCAGAACATGATTATTTCAAAAGAGACATTGAACATCTTAGACTATATTTAAATATTTAGATTATGGGTTGTCGTAGAGAAAGGGGATTGATTTCAATGTAGATTTTGCCACCAATCAACATCAGTCAGAAGTCATTGAAAACCAAGGAGAACTGGACAACTATTTCATGCTAGTTCAGGACATTGAATTCCGGCCCAAATGCCTGAATGGTCAACAACCTTGGCTTTGTAACCTGAAGACGTTGCGTTCGATCTCTGATGGAGTGGTGACTGTGCGCCGATGAAGGCCTCCAAAATAAGACGAAACACCTATTTAGTGCTCCCTGCTTTCCAGTGACCTCTAAATGGTGTTAGTTCATGACGAAATCTAAACATAAAACTACCCAATACAGATAAAATGCACAAAGTAACTAAGTTTCCCAGACGTATGGTAGTTACTATGCTGAGTAAATCACATGTTGATCATCTTCCGCTTAATTTAACAGTTGCAGCTATCACAACATATATTAGTATGGTAGATAACGAATGGAACTAAGCAGTCAAATAGTCGCTAGTCCCATTGTAACCGACTGTTACAAAAATTTAAAACTGAAATAGTTACAAAATGAATTAATGGATAGGAAAATCGACATAAAGACTTGAAACCTTAAATATACCTGTATCAGTTCAAATGGTCAAAAAATGCAACGCAAATGTGTCAATCATTTGTGCAGTACAAGAGTATAAGAAAGTGACTAATAAAGATGAACCAATAAGGTAGATAAATAGTTTTTCTGAATATCAACTGGATTGTGATTGGCTCCGATGGCATGTGACAAGGTCATTGTTATTGTTATTTGGTTAATAGACAGACAAGATAGATTGCGAGTCAAAACTTACTAACAATCAATAGACATATAGCAAAACATCAAATCGCCAAACAAAGCAGATATCATGTGCCTACATGTCACATATGGCTGACACAATTTTCAAAATAAGTGGTAGTAATCATCTTACTGAACCACTTAACTTTTAATCCTTAAAATCGCAGTTGATAAAGGAGTGTCATGCACTATCGCTTTACTTTTCGGGCTTTATCCTGACAGAATTCATAAGACCCAACATTCTTTCAACATACTCATTTAACAGAATCACCTCGTTTGTGAATAACGAAGTAACCAGATGTTTGAAATTGTGAATCTATTACCAAAGTGTTAGATGTGAGTAAGCCTACTATCACTGACAGATGATCAGATAAGGATTATTAGCCGAATCGCAGTCCAATCCTCTTCACACACCAGCTCCGCGACAGCCTCGAAGTCCCACAAGAAGCTCCAAGTGTCTCGTTCCTGGAGAGTGGCCAGCCATGAGGACTTGTAACGGTAGAATACAAGCGAATTGGTGAAATGTTTATTTGGAATTTGCTATCTCTATACAGCCAATTATGTACACCTTATCTTCAAATAGTTATTTGCACAGACCTCCGGTGTTGTGCTACCTCTGTCCTTCGTATTGTGTTTCCTTGTCTTACTTTCGAAGTCTCCCATGTGTTTCCGCAACGCTGAATCATTTGTTTTCTCTGACACCAAATCTATCTCCCTACTATTTGATATTTTTATGCCAATGAAAGTCTCTTTATATACTACTGATAAGTCCTATCAGTAGCACACGACACACTTGTTCCCCCACCTCAGCTTTGAACCGAGCTGCTCCGACTTTCTTGGTTCTACCCGTTCCTGTAGTAGATTGGTCCCGGCTTTCTTAGCCCATTGAATCCATTTCTGCAGTTGGCTGACGTTAACTCGTTTCTGCTTATTTCCTCTTTTGATGGTATAAACGGGATCACGTCTCTCGGTGACAGTGTATGGTCCTTCTCACTTCAGAAGAAGTTTCCGTGAACCTGGCCTGCATCTAACCGTGTACTTTCTTTCTCTATACTTGATCGTCAACCTCAAAGGTTATGAAGCAGATCTTTTCTCTCTGTTCAGACTTCGCGGCATCGTCCTTCTGTTTATTCTTTACATTCCTGATGGCTTCTTTCCGTTTCGTTCGCAGCCTTGTCATATTCCACTCTTGGTGGAGGGATCAGGTTGTGCTGTATGCTGGTAGTCGTGGTTTCCTCCCATAGATCAAGTTAAATGGTGACTTCTTTGTTGTTTCTTGGGTGGAAGCACGATGTACCAGTAGAATCAATGGAAGCTCTATCTCGCAGTTACCTCCGTTCGAGGTCAGCCACTCCTTTAGTGTGCGGTTATTTATTTCTGTCAAACTATTCGTTTGTGGATGATAAGGTGTTGTTCGGATCTTCTGGATACCCAGCTGTTGCAAACGGGAAGTGAATTATTCACTTCCAAAACAAGGACCCTGATCTGTCATTATCGTCTTTGGTATTCCATGGTGGTATGCAACGATGTGTCAAACTACTGCGTCAGTCACAAGTCTCGCGCGTTGATCAGGGATCGCGACGGCGTCTACCCATCGTGTAGTGTGTTCTATCACCACCAGAAGTTGCTGATTGCCACTGGATGTCTGCAGAAACGGACCCATCACGTCTACGGACCACAAGTCACCTACGTAGAAATTTAAGTTTAGAAGTGGTGGTATCATTTACGAAAACGTTTCTAAAATTTTCAATGTTAAGAGATGGAAAGAACACACTGTTTGCAAGGCGTTACACAGTATATGTATCAGGGGACTAATCACTAACTGACAGTTTACCCTGTAATGTTGACCGCCTTTTCACTCATCTATGTGTTTCACTTTCAATTAGTTAGTTATAGTTATAAGCTCTATGGCATATCTGAGGGCCAAACAGGTTATATTATAAGCACTGACCTTCAATATCCAGTGCATATATATATATATAAGTTTGTGATACCAACGGACATGAAAATATAGATTAACTGTTTGAGTTGTCATAGACAACATTTACATATTAACAAACAGACTGACTGACTAAGTTTCAACACAGAACTTTGCACGGAAATGCAGCAGTTTTCATGTATACACGCAACAGAGTAATAATGGTATTCATTTCGCTAAAACACAGATACGTTCACGTGTGCACGTTGAATTTCCATCAATACCGCTATTTACATACATTTTCTTAAATTAAAATGTATTAGAAAGTATCTGTCTGTCTGTTTTCAACATAGAACTTTGCACCGATGTGCGGCAGTTCAAGTCGCCACACTCTGTGTAGCACACAAAGCAAGAGAAGAAAGTAGAAGAAATGTAAAAAAGAGACAGTAGACAGGGATATGAGACAAAAGGAATAGTAATAACGAAGAACAATATAGTTTCATCAGGAATTATGAAGTATCTATATTAGTTATAGTGTATGGTGAAATGCAAAAAGCTTGAATAAACCGATCTGCAGGATTTCATTTTTATTCCCTGTGTGCTATGGTAAAAAACGAGTTAAAACTATCTATAAGTTATGTAACGAAAAAGTTTCAGTAGGCGAAGTAACACAGGTGAGACTTCAGGATTACGTTTCTTAACTTAAATCTCGACAAAAATTTTGTTTCAGTCGTCGTAAATAAAACTAATATTCTAGTCTGAAGATGAAGTGACACTGTATCTTTTGAAATTATCTTTGGAAAGCATAATAATTGGTCGTTATTCATTGATATGCTTGACTGAGCTACAACATAGAACACTACACATAAGTACAGCGGCTAAACTTGCCACACTTCATATAGCACACAAAGTTAGAGAAAGGGGGAGAAAAAAGAAATTCAAAGGAATTATAATGAGCAGAAATGTACAAGAGAAAGAATAGTAACCCGGAAAATTATGAGGATTTAATGGATATGGGAGATCATAAACAGTGAATGCGTTTGTACCACCACTGTGAATGGCTTTGAGTCATATGACCGACAGTTTCAAGTTATTGCTTCGACAGGACTCCACCCAGGTAGTCTACATCTCCTCAAACCAACTGTCAAATACTTCATGGACATATTCTACGTTTTTATTTATTTATTTTATTCCTTTTGCGTTCCGAGTGGAACAAAGGGCTTCAAGCTTGAGCTTTGAAGTTCCAGTAGCAGTAGGTCTTAACTTCCCTGACTAAGGGAGGCAAAGGTGTAAGCCGGCCAGGAATTGAAACCCGGACGCCCGGTATGATTAGTGAGCATTCTACCTCTGAAACAGCCTTAACTCTTTCTTAAGTTAGCTGAAATTGCTCGATGAGGAAGGCAGTGGCTTGTGATGCATAAAACGTGTCCTAGCTATCTCAGTTGATGTAGCTCCACAATCTTGTCGATTGACTTCCTTTCTTTATCCAACACTCTATGCCTAATCTCAGTGTTATTCACCATATTGTACCACTCAACACAGAAAATAGAATCCAAACTTCTGTAGTCAAAGACAGCTAACGTTTCCATAACTTCTATTTTTAATAGCTAGGTATTACAGCCATAAAGGAGGACGGAGCAAACTGCTGCACGCAGTACACACGTCTTTCGATCGATAACTAGCTATCACATATGCAATAGCCCTTTGTATCGGTGCTAAAATTTTGTCGGCAATCCGTCCAATACGGCTAATGCAACTTCCCAAGTAAATGAAGTAGTCAACATACTCAACCACTTAACTCTCTATCTTTAAATCGGGAGTCAGTGCACACCAGTTATGTAACAACAACTTACATCTGACAGCAGTGAATCGCATGCCAAACATTTCAAAATTTCTGCTCAAGGTGTTTAGGAAGAAAAAAACAATATCTTCACTGAACACAAGAGACAGTAACATATAAAGGAAGAAAAGGTAGAAAAAATAAAGAGGTATGATATTGCTATGATGATAAGAATAAAGTGTATATACACGCCTACGGCACTTCACCGTATTCTTAGTCATATTGCCCATGAGATTTGTTTGTTTTATGGCTATTACCCATTTCAGATCAATAGTAAATGACATTCTGCGTTGATATCATATATTCACATGTGACAACTCTTTGCTTCCTTTCTAATCCAATTATAACTGAGCATCAATATAAACAGTCAAAAGGAAAATATGATTATCGTTATAACACAAGTAAAGGGGTTGAATAAATGAAAAAGGATTTATAAATAAACAAAAAAAGCCTTACTTGATGACTTGTCCAATTGTGAAGAAGAAGAAACACGACTTTCTATACTATGTTTACTCTGTACAGGAGGAAAAGCAAAAATTAAAACTACTGTAAGTAACTAGCACAAAAATCCCTCATCACTACGATTATTACTGTTATTATTACTATTCTCACTTTGAATTGTTTCCGCTTGTCCCACTTGCCATTCCAAATCCATTTTGTTTTCAGTATTGAATTCTATCTCATCAAATTTTACACTATGTTATGTGAGGTTTTATATTAGCCTTCTAATCCTATAATCATACATCCCTTTCCAACATCTATACATCTTATGAATTATTCTGTATATGACACTAATTGTTTTGCTACTTGATATTTAACTATGATTATAATCACAAATATTTTAATTGCATTTCATACTACTACTATTATTATTTCATGTATTCACACCTTCGATTCAATTCCTTCACAGGATATCATTTCTTAAAAACCATATATATATATATATATATATATATATATATGATTGTGCAGCTGGATAATACATTCGTTGAAACGAGTCTCTTCGCTGAATATTGTGTTCCTGTTATCAAAACACAAATGTGCTACCTTACAGACATCAAGAGATACGACACAAAATATGATTGTTTGTGCGAGGACCGGGATACTGCCTTGGCGCTAAACCGACGGAAGTGGTTAGCTTAAGCAGCCACTCACCAAGTCTTTCACTTGAATTCTGATTTACAAGGCAATGGAGTGGTGTCAGGTGCTGCGTCGTCGTGATTTCCGATGAAGAAAGCAGGTTCATACGTCATCCCTTTCCTTCGGATTCTGGAGCCCATGAACATGTATACCACAGGTATGGAATCAGAGTTTTCCAACTCCCTTAGGTAAACCAGCATGTCCACCAGTCCGGTTGCAAACGCCAGAAGTTCGAATTTGCCATACGCTTTTGTGAGGAAAACCAAGGCCGCGTGAAGGTAGTGAATACGACTTATCTGACAGAGGCTGTGTATTTCTTGACCTAAAGGCGGCATTCAATTCTGTCAACCGAGAGGTTCTCTGGCGATGCTTGGCTGTGAAAGGAATGCCGAGAAAATATATCGCACTGATCAAGGCACTCTACTCGAACTCATGTAGCCAGCCAGTTGAAAACTTACGGCGAGTTGTCATCTGAAGTGGTGATGACTAGTGGCGTCCGTCAACGAGGGATGCCCACTGCCCCCATTCCTATTCAATTCCATCATAGATGTACTAATGGAATTCACCCTAACTCACTTCAGAGACTCAGGGATCAACTTGCTACCAGGGAATAATCTCGTTGACTTAGAATATGCAGATGATATAGTCCTTCTAGGCGAGGACGCTGACAAAATGCAGAAGTCTTCTGAACACCTTGAGCTGCAATCTACGAATGTTTGGCATGTGATTCGCTCCCGCCAAATGTTAGATGATGTTACAGGACTGGACTACACTGACTCCTAGTTTAGAAATAGGGAGTGAAGTGGTAGAGCACGTTGACCGCTTCAATTACTTGGGAAGTACGATTAGCCCCATCGGGTTGATCTCTGACGAAATCTCAACACGGATAGAGCTGGCTACTTTCGCATATGCCAGTTTACGCCGTCTATGGCGTAGACGTGATATCCGATTATCGACCAAAGGGCGTGTGTACTGCTCAGCAGTCCGCTCCGTCCTCCTTTATGACTGCCAGTGAGACATGGCCATTGAAAGTGGAGGACATGAAAAGATTAGCTGTCTTTGAGCATAGGTGCCTGCGTTCTATCTCCAGTGTGAAATGGTATAATAGGGTGAGCAATATTGAGGTTAGACTTCCGTCGAGTGCTAGGTAAAGGGGGAAAATCAATAGACGAGGAAGTGAAGTTACATCGACTGGGAGGGTTAGGACATATGTTACGCATGCATGTCTAGCCATCGCCTTTCTCGACGGGCAATGTTAGCTGACATAGGGTCAGGCTGGAAAAGAACCAGTGGTGGTCAAACGAAAACATGGCTTTATCAGTCAATGAAATCCACAACAGTTAGTTTAAGCCAGCTACGTGGGAAGATGTAGACTTCCTGATTGGGGTCCTCAGGACGGTAAAAACCAATGGCTGGAGACAATCGGTGATATGGCTCAAAATCTTTCTCATTGGTGCAGATGCATCCACTCCTTGCGACTTACAGTATCCGATAAAACTATATTGTTCTTCCATATTACTTTTCTTTTTGCCTTATATCTCTGTTTTGAATATCTTTTTACTCTCTTTTCGCTTTGTGTGCTACATGGAGTGTGGGAACTCGAACTGCTGCACATCGGTACAAAGTTCTACATTGAAAACAGTCAGTCATTAACAAACAAACTTCTTTGAAATTGTATGTGATACAAAACGAAAGCGAGTATGTAAAGATGAGTTACTAAAACAGTAGAATGATTTATGCATCTTCTAACTTCTATGAGTTACTAATGAATACCTTTTACTGGCACTCTGAAAAATTTTGTTGCAGACACGTTTTCTCTAGTGAAGTAAGCATGCCTTTTTAAGGATTAGAAGTTCGCAGTCGAGTCGATATAGAGTAATATTCGACTATTGATGCGTTTTTTATTCTTTTGTGTGCTGATTGGAACATATGGCTTCAAGCGTCAACTGTGGAGTTTCAGTAGCAGTGGTGGTGTTTTGGTTGGGTAGCGTCGCTACTTTCACGCCCAGTCGTTTATCTTCACCGGGTTTACTACCCATTAGGCGAGGTTTAGGAGTACATCGACGGAGAGTCTAACTACGGACCATGTGTATGGTTGACGAGCACTCTATCACTGAATCACCGACGCATCCCTGTTGATTTAAGTATTCTATCTATGTTGAAACACGTTACTGCTTATACTCGAGACATCATTTATCAGTATTTTTAAAATAGCATTATTTCACCAAATTATAACTACAAAAATAACTCACTTTTACATCATCACGAAACGAGTGTTGCTCTGATGAGACATGTGAAAGACTTTTGAGTGGTTTCCTATTTAAATGAATATGGAATCTAGAGGTGGTAGACAGATGAGACTTTGGACGACCTCTCTTTTTATGGATAGGATATACAATAGATGACTGAGAACTACCAACAACGTTACGATTAGAATCACCACGATATTTTGGTGAAAGGCCGAATTTCGAATCACTTCCCGTTGTTCTGAACTCACTTTCTGCATTACTGTGGATTTTTGAAGATCTGATAAAGGCTTTCATACGAATCATATGACTCATTTGATTTTCTACACTCATCAAATCACCAATTTCCTCTGAAGTTAATCCTCCTGGTAAATCCTTACAGGCTTTTTGTAGAGACGATAAAGTCATTTGTTTGCGGCAGAATGATAACAGCTAATAGTGAACATAAAAGATTATGAAATTTGAGATAAGATAACAACATAACATAATGTCTACAATTAAGGTGATAAGAAAAATTTAACACCACTATCATGTAAAAAGTGAGTAATAGCAAGTGTAACTGATGAGACAAGAGCTAGATAATATGGATTGATTACAAACACATGTGTAACAAAAATACACTACGCAGCTAGTTTAGATATTTGCATGGCTTATGCATCCGAAATAACCCTGTGTCCAAAATCTCCAGGTTTTCTTACCTTCGCAGTTTTAGTGCAAGTTTACAATGACCATTAATTTACCAATACTGAAGTTGGACAGTGTTACGTGAAGAAGTAGAATCTATCAACCAATGATGTTAAAACTAATGAGAACAATTGAAGGATATACAATCTGTTAAACTAAACATTTAGTGATAATAATAATAATATCAGTTTTATTCTGGGAATTATGTTTGAATACAGTATAGAACTCTCAGTGTGATTTCTTGTTAAATATTTACTCGCTGTAACGAATTTTCAAGTTAAGCATTCATCAAAAGTATATCGTATGATGCAATATCATTCTGTCCGTAAGAAAACTTAATCTTCTGCGACAATTTCTCTTTATTTCCTTCTTGAAGTGCACAGCAGTAGTTTAGTAAGAATTTGCATAGTTCATCTTGTGATCACAGCATAGAATTAGGAGATTAAAACAAAAAGAAATGCAGAAAAGTGGATGCATTATGTTGATTGGAAATTTAGGTAGCTCAATGATTTAAGAAGGAGATGCTTTAGGTTATTAGTTATCATGATGAGGAAAATAACTAAACTTAGATTTTATGACTGAAGATAAAGAAACAGTGAAAAGTATCCATAATCTCCAAATTGTATTCAGGATTTCCATAGAAAGAAAATCTGGATGATTTGGTCAACTAAGTAAACTTCAAGCAATTCTGTCACAATAATTCTACTGTTGTACACTTCCCTCCCTTATTCCATATGAAATAATTGACTTTAAACAATAGACTCAACAATTCTTAAGCGTAAATAACCATCTTCCTATTCTATACAGAGCAAACATCAGATATGACTAACACAAAAATATCTAACACCCTGAAAGGAACATTCCCTGCTGCTACATAACAATTGGTATTCTCAAGCCGCTCCTTGTTCTTGAACAACTCCACAGATAAACTATCGCATTTGACCACTTCTATGCGTATCTACCAATTTACTCGCTCATGTGAAGCGAGATATATAGGTCGTCCGATGCGTGTTTTATCTAAAAGAGTGAAAGAACATTACCCCGCTTGGCTACGAAAAGGTAACAATGGATCAATAAGGAGTGCTATAATGGAACATATATTCAACATCGGTCACTCAATGTATAGGGAGAATTCATTCAAAGTCAAGTTAAGAGAAGCCTCCTGAAAACGGTAAGCTTCCGTATACTTTGCATTGCCGAGGTGTTAGTGATCTGGATAGAAAACTCAGATTTATGTACACAAAAGAAAATTCTCCACCCCATCTTTCTACCTTGGGTATAATTCCAAGTTCTAATATTTCGTTAATAATTCTTCGTTTTTTTGAATGTTTGTATGACCTCTTAGTAACACCTTTTTCTTAACCAACCCTTTATTCACTCTTTCTACCTATTACATAATTTATTTTGGACACGTCACACGCTGTTTCGTCAACAATCTATTTTTCTGGGTGTCTTTCATATTACGTAACTCTCGTCAATACTTAACAATCTTCACTCTCCTAGTTACAATTTGATTATTCATCACATTTTTGAAACATTTTGATGACGTGAACAACAACCCTAACCAATTTTTATTTTTGTTTGACAATCCTAATGCACACATACACACAAAATAATTGTAACTAAATGCGATTGTACAGTTTAGTGAATGAATTCGCCGAAAAGAGACTCTTCTCTGAACTTTTTGTTCTTACAAAAATATTACCCTATGGAATTAGTGAGAATAATATGCATAAGTATGGATGAATCCCATCCGCAGAAAGGACAGTTGACAATCTGAGAAGCAGGATAGCAGATTATAACTTGTCACTCCATACATATTTACAAAATTTGCAGGAATTTATATCTAACGGATTAAATACGATTTCGAACTCTGAACCTTACTTTCGCTTCCCTGATCTCAATAGTGAATCTAAAGTGTCTTCATTTCAACAATTTCAATCAGTGGGTTACATCGAAGCTGTGCAAATAAATCTTGCAAGTCTACTGTGTATTTCTAGCTTTCAGGTTTTCCTGTTTGGTTAATATTCAGTTTATGACACCTTTATGGAACTTTATGGATAATCAATAAACAGATGAACTATAATGCCTGTGAAATGTTTGTTTGTATGCTTATTTTTCTACTTAAAACCCTTGTGTAATTCCGTATATTTTGTTTCCATGTACACCCTGAGTACAACTCTTTCATTAAACTATTCACGTTATTACGCAACTCTTCTTTAACAATCGTTTGTGACAACTCATCACTTTTGTTACTACCCTCTTATATCAACATCCAATTCATCTGAACTTACTAATTGTATCTTCGTTTGACAAATTTAATGTACACACACATACAAAACAACCATATATATTTGCGATTGTACAGCTATGAAAATGAATTCGCCAAAAAGAGACTATTCGCTGAACTACTTGTCTTCTGTCTATTAATGTGATATGTTAGTCATATAACCAAAATATTTCATTAACCTAGCAATATAACGCATTTGTTAGACAGCTTATATTTACAGATATTCCTCCAGAGCATGTTGACGTGAAAGGATAATATGTTGACCACGCCAATTTGGGACACTTCGGACAAAACAATGCCATAGTTGGTATAGTATTCCTACAAACACTATACAACAACGCTAAGTGTTAGGTGAACCACAACAGGAAACTCAGCGAAGCTTTCGAAGCGAACACAGTAAAACAAGACTGCCTATTATCATCGATTATATTCCTAATTGTGGTGGACTGGATTATACGTCAGACTGTGGGGAGTGAGAAGACACGAATACGTTGTACCGATAAGAAGACTCTACAAGATTTGGATTTCGCGTGTGGATGATTTATGTTTAATGTCACACAAACTCGAAGACTTACAGGCGAAAACCAACAAACTGGCTGAAGCTGCCAGTGAAAACAAGACTCCAGGTGAACATAGAGAAAACGGAGGTGATGAAGATAACCAGCCAACAGCAACAACAACCAGCACCAATCACCATCAACGGGAGAAACTGCCAGAGGTTACTTTCTTCACTTATCTAAGAAACACTGTTTCAACCACAGGTGAAACGGATGATGTCAAAACCAGAATCGGAAAGGCAAGATACGCCTTCATCAATCTGAAACCAGTTTGGAAATCTTCTGCACTAACTCAGCATAAACGACAAGATTCGGATTTTCAATACGAATGTCAAGTCAGTCAGTTCTTCTCTACAGGTCATAAACTTGCACTGCGCGTCACGAAAAGCATTTCCAAGGTTATTGCAGACTTTCATCAACAGCTGCCTTCGCTGGCTCCATACTGAAGATCAAATGGCCAGAAAGAATCAGCAACAAGAAACTATGGGAACAAACTAACCAAGAACTTATCGTTCAACATATATGTAGGCGAAAATGGGGATGGATAAAGCAAACACTGAGGAGACCATCGAATGACATCGCACACCAGGCCAGCCCTCGAGGGAAAGCGACGAGTGGGTCGTCCTAGGTTGACATGGAAGAGGTCATACGAGGAGATGAGAAATTACGGGCAGCCATGGACCCAGTTGAAAAGGACAGCAGAAAATAGAACAAGGTGGAGATGTTTATGAAGCCCTGTGTTCCACTTGGAACCCAAGGGAATAATAAAAATAATGACAATAATAATAATAATAATAATCAGTTTTTCATGGAGTAGGCTAAATCATGCATACTTAATGCTTTTGGAGTTATGGTAAGTCGCTTGTCGACACTCTGTGCAGCAGCAGGGTTTGAATCCCAAATCCATTAGTTAAAAATCAAATGAACCTAACTGTTATGATATATCCACGATACATCAGTACGCACAATAGATATGAAGTAGAAGCGACATTAGAAAAAAGGGACATTAGCATGCCTTTGCAAACTGGCACGCTAGATATGAAGTTTAGCGTATAACGTACGCCTACCACTGAAACGAGATAAGTGCTGGAACATTACACAAAACCTTTATGATGTTGAATCCGAACGAGCTCCCGTTAAATAGCATGTTACATAAACTCATCTTCAGTTTCTAAATCAATAATACACAAGGAAGAATAGAAATATAAATAGTTAAAACTATCAGACACCTACTTTTCGCGCACGCTGATAATAAATAGTATCTGGAGGATTGTAGACCATTGCATTATCACACATTAATGTAACATCAGCAAGATATTCTGCAGCAGAACGATAGTATGCCCGAGAGCGAAGTCTACTGCATATCGTTCCAAGATCCATAGGTTTTGAAATCACCTAAAGTATAAAGATAAATTGTTTGTTAGTGCAAATCTATTGAAAGAAATACATACATTATCAGTAAATACAGAATGAAAAGGACACAAGTACTTGATGATTATATACAAAGTCTGGAAAGGATTTCGGTCCAAGGAACAAAACTGTCTTATTCCTAAACTCATTTGTTTTGTAAAATCAGACATCAAGATAAGCAGTGAACGCTACAATTAAAAGGACATTTTATACATCTAACAGCACGATCATCAAGAACTCGAAGCCCATATACCCCTCTAAGCAGTTAGAAAAAATTGAAAAATGACGTCATATACAATTGTATTTACCAATTTAAATGTACGTGCGGTCACACATATATGGAGAAGACTCATCATTCTTTGCAAGTGAGTGCTACAGATCACATTCCCAGATGGTTTCAGAAGCAAACTGAGACCCTGGGACCTATCAATGTTGGATGTAAACGCCACACCTTCTTAATCGTGAAATATTACTGAAACATGGCATAAAACAGATGTCTACACGTCTTTTAAACCCATACATTAGACATGTGGAGGGAGTGTCCTAAAGTTTGTAGCAGCCTTAACAACTTGGAAGTTTGAGTCACCTTTCCAGATTGTGACATTAAACCCGTCTCTGTTAATTTTGTCATGAACCCAAAATTTATGTAACATCATCTTCTTTTTTCGGTTTACTGACCGCCACTGTTATTTTGACTTTCAGCGTAGCTTTTTAATTTGACTTATGTTTATTCTTCCACCCCTTAAAACTTCATTATTTTTCAAATAAATTCCTATGACAAACATATGTGTAACCTAACTGTTTAAAATGTATTGCACAAATACACTACACAATCCCGATAAATTCCGTCCTTTTGTTACATTGTGGAGAATGTGTATGCGCAATAAGAGTACCGGCTTCAGGGTCAATATTTTAAACACAACTACCCATACCTTAAAGGAATTTTAACTGAATACAATATTTATAACCAAGTGGCATACTAATGTTATTACACTTGATTTACAGCACAACACAATGCTGCTCTTGAACTACAAGTTACAATGTAGTTTCCATTTACATGAGACTCACCATATTTGGCCGCACATTTCTCTGGTTATGTTTATTAGTATAGCTGAATCTAGCTGAAAAAAACGATCTGGCAGTATATCGTGAGTAGAAAGCTCCAATGTGAGATTTTATTATCAACATAACAACAGTAGATAAAGAAATAACTAGCTTATTGGGAATTGTCTGTACTTTTTTTTGTTCATCACTATGAACAGTAAAATGTAAAATTTAAGTCATTCACACCAGTAAATCTAACTATACTTAGTAAGATCAGAATCAATAGCAGACACTACAAGGAGGGAAAAAAGGAATATACTATATTCATTGTATTCGTTAAGGATGAATACTTTGATAAGTGGTTACTGAAAAAAATATTTAGCCATGAATCGTTCCATATTGAACCTAATATGTTTGGTGTGCATTCCTTGGGAAATAAACTGTTTTCAAAAGAATTTTTAGAGGATTTCGACTGCAACCCGATTAAGATGATTAGCAAAATGAAACAAATGAGTGGCAATGAGTATAAATCTATATAAACAAACTAAAAGTTAAGGTAGAAAAGACTGAATCAATGTACAAATTAAACACAATCAATACTAAAGACTGGGGTCTTACAGATATCTTGGGGTTTAATTTGACAAATAGTATGTACATAAATATGAATCTAAATTAAAGAATTCTATCTTCTCAGAGTAATTTATAGTACAGTAAGAAATCTCCGTACAAAAATCATAGAGTTATCAAAACAAACCTCAGAATAACCAACAGCAATATCATCAGTTACAGGATTGGCGAAAATTCCACGAGGGTCTCTGCGAACAAGATTCTGATGAATTTCATTCAGTACAGTATAAAGGTTTCGACTTGTAACTTCGGTTAGAACATCAGGCTCTAAAACACAAAAGAACGGAGTAATCAATATAATCGTGAAGTTTCTTAAAAGTATTCGCAAAACAAATGTCAAAAGATCTTAAAAGATCCCAAGAATATTGTGGTCCCTTACTTGCACATTGCTTTTTGGTAAACCTGGAAAATAACGTACTACGACCCGATAACAGAAGTTTTCATAAGTGCTGAATATGAAAAACGTGCCGATAATGGATTATAATTATATTTCAATAGTTTACACAATGATAAGTTTTTGCTTTTGGTAATATTTCGAGCAAAATTACTGCCCGATAATGGAATTCTGTAATTGCCATCATTCTGTCAAGTTTACATTGGAATTCAGAGTAAACTCTGAATTCTGTTTTTTGGATGTTCAATTGAAAAGGTCTGACAGTTTTCCTCAGAGACGAATCTACAGGAAGATAACATTGAATGTTTGGTAACAATACGTCCCAGGGGATGCGAACGCACGAGTGACCTTCAGCCGACCAATCATAAAAATGAGGAATTTTCGCACAAAATAATGACGTATATTGACAAGGAAATGCTCGAAAACACATTAAACAGGTTATCTTTCTCTGAAATGACTTAAAAATACGTCCTAGTTATAATGAGGAGTATCAGTTGCTAAGTTAGACTAGTTTCTCTGCATGTATTCACCGAGCTGACTAAAGATGAGCTGTTTTTCTGAATTGTTTATCTCTCTTATCCAGTTGTGCAGTCTTCCTCAAAAGCCCTCAGTTGAATTACTACGGTTTCCAGTAAGCGGATCAACGACTGCTTACTGGGAAAATGTGGGTAATAAAACAAATTAAAATAAATGTCATCAACTCTAAATCTATTCATAATGGTAACCCTAACCCTAACCCTAAACTTAACACTAACCATAACCCTAACCCTAATTACAACCCTTATCCTAACCGTAGACCTAACCCTAATCCTTATTATGACCCTGATCCTAACCCTAACGAGCTACTAACACATTGTTCAAACAGTACTTAGAAACGAGATCTGGGTGAAATATGCTCCTTAGTTGGTGAACAGCGTTGATAATTCAGCTATGATAGTGACAGGTGCCATTAACCAACGATTAGCATGCGTTCAAGATCAATGGAGCGTTTGCACTCCTGGGACGCTATTGTGAGAATTTTCACAAGTGGACCCTTTTGAGATGAAAAATAAACCTAATCCACTTCAGGAATACAAAGGATTTGAACTAATGACACAACAGATGATGAACTAGAGAGGCTTGAATAAGTCCTCATTCAAAACAGATACTCTACAAGATTAGTCGAGAAAAACGCGAGCGTAAAGCAGGAACCTGAAGGAATTCACAGGGTACCGAAGAAACTGTTCTCGATAAATGACGAATTTAAAGGTGATACTGAGACTGAAAACCGCCTATCCAGATCAATAAGAAAAGCATTCTTCTCAGTTGAGCTTTAGATTAATCACTACAGTCAGTATAGGATCAGTGAATGTGTGAAGGAAAAACTGCCCCTTTGGGCCAAACGCAAAAATGTGGAGAAAAGAGTAGTGAAGCTACAATCAGTGAAGAAGTACGGGAAACAGAATAATTAGGCTATTAGCAACAGTTTCAGACGCTTTAAGATAAGTATGCCTGTACTGTTGTAAACTAATTCTATCCGAGTAACAAACAGTCGCCAACCACCTGTTTTCAGCATTCCAAGGACTCTGGTTTTTATGGAGGTAGAAATACTTCCTCTGACTAGGAATATTTGGTCACAAGTTTTAGTCATTCTGAATGGTATTGAAAACCTGCCAGACAGCTGCTAACCTACGTCATATGTATCAATTAAATAAAAGCAAATTTTTACCCAATCGAATAGATGTGTCAAATACGGAGCATCTAAACTGAATGTGTGGAAAGAAGGCAAAGTACCCGAGGATTGGAAGGAAGGATACTTATTCAAACTACCAAAGAAAGGAGACTTAAGTCAATGCAAGAACTGGCGCGGAATTATGCTCCTGTCCATCCCAAGCAAAATACTAAGCCGCATCATCTTGGAGAGAATCAAACAAGCCCTGGATGAAAACCTCCGACCGGAACAGGCTGGATTCAGGAGAAACAAGTCATGTATTGACCAGACCACCACATTACGGATCATCACTGAACAAAGCCTGGAATGGCAGTCACCTCTCTATCTCAACTTCATCGACTTTGAAAAGGCCTTCGACAGCGTCGATCGAGAGGTGCTTTGGCAACTACTTCACTACTACGGGTGCTACCGACAATTATACATCTCATCCAACAGCTGTACGACAATGCTGCATGCCAAGTAATCCACAACGGGAAACTTACGGAATCCTTCGAAGTGAGGACAGGACTAAGACAAGGCTGCCTACTATCGCCAATGATTTTCCTGATTGCAGTAGACTGGATAATGCGACACACAGCCGGCAATGAGGAAACAGGCATAAAATGCACTCACAAAAAATCTTGGAGGATCTGGACTTCGCCGATGATATATGTCTGATTTCCTACAAACTGGAAGATATGCAAGTGAAAAGCAACAAGTTGGCAGAAGAAGCATCAAAGATAGGACTTCAGGTGAACATAGAGAAAACAGAGGTGATGAAGATTCCTAGGCAACACCACAGACAGCAACAACAACAAGAGACAACAATCAGCATAAATGGGAGGAACCTGAAAGAAACAACCTCTTTTACCTACCTGGGAAGCATCGTTTCAACTACAGGCAGAACTGACGAGGATATCAAAGCAAGAATCGGGAAAGCAAGACAAACTTTCATTACTCTCAAGTCTGTGTGGAGGTCAACAGCACTCAGTATGAAAAATAAGATCCGGATTTTCAACCCCAATGTGAAGTCAGTGCTACTATACGGATCAGAGACTTGCACTGCGCGTCATAAAGAGCACCTTAAACAAACTGCAGACCTTCATTAACAGTTGTCTTCGCTCAATACTCAAGATCAGATGGCCAGAAAAGATCAGCAACAGAGATCTCTGGCAATGAGCGAACCAACCAGGAACCGATTGTGAAACAAATATGCAGGAAGAAATGGAGATGGATTAGCTGGCCATACTCTGAGGAAACAAACCATCAATTGACATCACTAGACAAGCCATCGCTCGAGTGGAACCCGAAAGGGAAGCGGCGAGTTGGTCGTTAGTGCAAGGGTGACTTGGAGGAGGTCATGTGAAGAGGAGATGAAAACGTGTGGGCATACTTGGAGCCAGGTGAAAACTCTAGCAGAGAACCGAACGCAATGGAGGAGGAATTAAAGGAAACAATAATAATAAACTGAATGTTTCCCCAGATCAGATTTATTCTCGTATTTGGAAATCCGATAGTACTGGGTACTTGAAACAAACTGAGTAGGCGAGACATCTAAACTCTGGTGAATGAAATTATGGTAAACAAACAATATGGCTGAGGTAAAGTATTTATACTAGTAATAAGGTGGACTACAAACCACAGGTGGACAACACGTCAAATTCCGACAGGTGAGGCGGATCAACAAATGCATCGATTCAAGTCACCTTAATTCCAAAAAGTACGAAAAAGGGTAGCCAGACAGCATAAAAAACTAAAACTAAAAGCCTAGAGGAAGTGGTTGTTAAATAAACCAATAGGCATAAAATGGCATTTAATAGAGCGCTTGTGACCCCAAAGATAAAAGGCGCTGGAAAGCAAAGCATGACTTTTGAAAGTGGGACTTATTTTTGCAAGTTCGCAGAGCAGGAGTCTTTCTAATGTTGAAAATATATAACTATAAGCAAGCAAAAGGACTGAATCAAAAAACTGTAGAGACCCAATCGCAGTATGCTTTTAGTCACTTTAGAGGTATCAGAGTTGATGTGCCGAGCTAATACGCAACATTTTCATCAAAAATTACTGTTTTAGCTATTCGGTAAATATGAGTTGAAAACTCAGTCTTTGCAAAATGGTGATGATACTAGACGAACCTCAGAGACCTACAAGAATTTTCACGAGTGAAAATTTGACAGGCACGTTCGCAAATAAGGCGTTACGAAGATTATTGAGCAGTGCTTTGTTGTATATGAATAGCACTCAATGAATCTGACCAAGCATCCTCATGAAAATTTCGAAAACTACTAGTGAGTACAGGTATTAGACTTTCGAAACCTTGAGTACTGTACAATTAATCTGAACGTATATATAAGGGTGAGGTAAAAGAAATCATATTCCGAAGATTCGGAGTATATGTAGGGCTTTAAATAATGAAAGTGAACAACTTGCTTAACAAGATCTACATATACTGAATGAATGGTGTAACTATTGGTCCTTAGAGCTTAGCACAAGTAGTTGTTTAGTTATGTATGCCGCTTGTAACTACATGGACAACTACTCGATAAATGGTTTTACTCCATAGAGGATTGCGAAGTAAACTATGACCTCAAAACCTCAGCTAACTGTAGAGTGGTAGTTGTGAAATGTCCTAGGATATTTTGGGCTCTCAATAGGGCACTTGTAAGTTTTGATGCTATACTTCCCAAATTATACCCAACTTCATTTGGAATATGAGGTCCAGGCAACCTATGTTTACTGAATAAAGCAGACATTAGAAAGAATGGAAAGATTAAGGACTGAAATTATCAATGGATTCTCAAGCCAGTCATAAGGATAGATGATATTGGCAGTTGAGGTATTATCTCACTTGATCAGTCCGTATTTCACATAAAGATCTTGTCTATTTCTCCTCCCCAAGAAGGACCACTTGCAAGGACATCAACTTATACGTCAAGGATCACGGTCGAATCATTTGTGACCGGACGTTAGTTTCTCAAGTCGAATTGTGAGTCAGTGAAATCCTCTGTCTGGACGGACTATATCAGCACCATCAGCTGGTTCATTTACAACAAGGCCAGACGGGTGCTGTGCTGCTATTGTCGAAAATTAACCCTAACTAGCAGTACAAGCCTATAGTTTAGTATCCAAAACAGTAACATAAAGTGCTGAAATCCCTTGTTAAGTTTAAATAAACTGCTGTATTCAAGCGCGAAAAGAGGAAACAAAATACCATAAGTATCTGAATATAGACATTCTGCACTTTAAAAATGAACATAAGCCAATGAAAAACCAATCAGTTGACAAGCGCAGAACTTTAGAAAGGTTTAACATAGAAATCTACACAGAGATGAATCAGTTACATTTATACTACGCCTCGAAATACAATTATGCACTACTATACTCTTAACTGAACATCTAAAAAGCTTCAAGTGAACTAACCTGCATCTTCAAAGCAGTCTTGCGTAGGTTTGCTTCCAGAAAATGATATCTTTAATTTAAGAGCATTGTCTGAATTAGCCACACAATGTAGTCCATTAGAGTTGTTATCATCAGCCATCACTGTAACGCTACGCGCGTTTTGAGCGGTAAAATTACTGTTGTATTATTTGCTTAGTTTCAAGCGAAACCTGCATTTTGTGAGAAATCATATTTACACAACCCAGCGACTGAAATTATCCGTACAGCTTGTTCCTTTATTTCGCCTTTCGCTATCATCTTTGACCCTAGGCTCAATATTCATCTTTTCATCAAACCCCTTAAAAGTGATTAATAGCTCTATCAGACTGAGAAAAGAGAGGAAGAGATCCAAAAGCACTGGCACTAGCAAGGCGGAATACTGCGTTGGTCAACAGTGATAATACACATTCTATCTTTTAGCAGTGAAGTACACAAAAACATTACCATGATGAAACAAGGGACAATGTGCTGACGATGTTCATTCTGATGAGATTTCAAGCTGAAACTCACCTCTCTTCTTGTCCACTGGGTGTTATATGTTATGTGACACTGTAAACCAAATTTACATGATCCGACTACACTTCATCAACCGTTGTTTTTCGGTTTCGTTGTTAAATTCTTTTGGTTTACGCATTAAGAACACTGGATTCGGAGTTACTGTTTTGGATTCATGTTATAGTGGCTACAATCTATTTGAGATGAACTGATATGGTTACTAGATACTCTCGAATTTGGAATCTTATATACATATTCCATGTCTATCAGGAGCAACTTCAGAGCTAATCTCTCAAGAATTCTTGGTGACTGCTTAGGCATGTCGTATTGTTTGTCTGCCAGCAAATAATTTATCACTAGATATATCAAAGTTGTAAGAATAATCTGGAAATTCAGAATGTAGTGTGTTCTCTTGGAGTAATCCACATCACCACTCATATGTTGTTAGGCAAAAAGAGATACATAAAAGAGAGTCTGTATGCACAGATTGCCCAACAGTAGGTTCTGTGAGTGGTTGCACAACCAATCATCATGGCAACCATTTCAGTGTGTTCATGAAATTTTTAATGTATTGAAAATCTCTTAAGCTTGGTGGTATAGTCATTGGGTCTAAACTAGCTCTAGTGGCAAATAATTCCTCGAAGTTATCAGCCTACAGCTCTCACCATTCAACATTTTGTGCCGACCATGACTGATTAAGTCTGCTGGATATGCTGAAATTATGCGGCCAGGCGTCCACCGCATTTGTAAAGCTGTTTTTTCACGTTCAGCCATCACCGAACGCAAAACAGCTTGCTAAGCAGTCATTGTGGCCCTACACTTCTGATCTCGAATTTTCTCCTATTTCGGACAAACAATTTATTGTTTTGATTTGTCTCTGGTCACAGTAGAACAAATTATGGGTGAAAAAACTCTTCCGAGCGGCTTGGTGGAGTGCCTACTGGTCCGTCTACCTATGTTAATAGGGTGTTTGTACATGGCTTCCTTGATGTTTGTCCGTTGGATCTCGTGCTTCGTTTGATTCTTGTCCAGTGCCCGTCACACCAGGAAAATCAAACGAGAATGCCAAGAAGGTTGTTGAGGAATATGTACCAAAAATAAAGGTTGATAAATGATGTGCATCTACCATACAGTAAAATAATGCAACGTTTAGAACATCGAAAGAAATATGCATCTAATTTTTTTTGGTGCATGTAACGTGTACGGTTGTGATAAAAGTTTTTTTACTTGTGTTCAGTTATGCTATATAAAAAAAATTGATGTCTGAAAAGAAAAAATAATTAATACCACAAACGAATGAGTCGGGTGAATCGCACAATTTAGTTATATGATATAGGTGTGAAGGTATTCTGGGAATCTTACGTTACGTCCAGAACGCGTTTCCTTACAGGGCTCGGCAGAAAGTTAGGTGGCTTCCGCCGTGCTGGTGAGTTCTTCGACGAATAATGGATATTTGATTACTTGTGGATTATTGGGTACGTTCAGCCCTAGGCTAACAGGATTTCCTTCCAAGTAAGCCGGTTTCAAACGGTCGATGCTGATAGTGTCTTCGTGGTCTTTTCGTCTAAGACAAAGAATTTATCCGTAAGTTTAATTACTTTATATGGTCCGTCATACGGGGGTTCTAGAGGGCGAAGCACAGAGTCGCGACGAACAAATACGTGTGAAGAAGTTTTTAAACAAGGGTGGACTGTGGTTGAAGGGGAGCAGGTTTAACTGAACGCATAGCGTTTGTAAGCCTGCTGACGTATGAGGTGTGATCTACTGCTGGTGGAAAGCTCGAGGGAGAAACAATCTCACCTGGCAGTCGTAGTGTCGTGCCATATACTAGCTCAGAGGTAGTACAACCAGCATCGGTTTTTAAAGCGTTTCGTATCCCTAGGAGAACTAACGGAAGGGATTCAGTCCAATGGGTGTTGCTTGCAGCTGATAAACCAGCTTTCAACTGTCTGTGTAGACGTTCTACCATACTATTAGCTTGAGGATGGTAGGCTGTTGTTCGAAAACGCAAGCAACCAAGGATTTTAGCCAGGGCGAAGAATAAGCCGCTTTCGAATTGTCGCCCGCGATCAGCTGTTATGGAAGATGGGCATCCAAAGTTTTCGGTCCATCTTTCCACAAAGACGCGTGCGATTGTCTCATTAGATACATCCTTGAGGAGTACTGATTCAGGCCATCGTGTGAAACGATCGATGCAGGTTAACATATAGGTATATCCATGAGATTCCGGAAAGGGTCCAACCAAATCTATACGAATGTGTTCGAAACGGGGGTCAGGGGTAAGAAAAGTACCAAGGGGGCTTTTGGTGTGTCTAATTACCTTGCACTTTTAGCAAGCTAAACACGTCTGTGCCCATTCCCTTACTTCTTTGTTAATACCAGGCCAACAAAGCCGACTAGTTACGAGCTTGACGGCAGTTCGGATACCTGGGTGGGATAAGCCATGCAACGTATTGAAGACGTTACGGCGATCATTTTTAGGCACAATGGGGCTAGGAGTACTAGTGGAAATGTCACGTAGAATAGTATCACTTACCATACCTAAGGGTTCCTCGGCTAATTGCAGAGTTGTTTTCGACAACTCATGTTGAAGCTCAATATCTTTTTTTTTAAGACGAGCCAGTTTCACAAGGTCCATGCCATCTATTTGGGTGTGGGAACAAATGCGCGACAAGGCATCTGCCTCAGTCTTGTTCACTCTGGATACATGGCGAATATCCAGTGTAAACTGAAACGTAGTCCAGTTGTCGTGATTCCATAGGTGAATACTTATCTGAGGTTGAGTTCAGAGAGCACGTCAGAGGTTTGTGGTCAGTGAAAATTATGAATTCACGAATCTCCACTGAATATTGAAAATGACGTATAGCACAGTACATAACCAGAAGTTCTCTGCCGAATGTGCTGTACTACGTTTCAACTAATTGAAGGTGCCTCGAGAAAAAGGCGAGTGGTTGCCACTCTCTGTTAGCTAGTTGTTGCAGAACTGCGCCGATTGCAGTGTCTGATGCATCAACTGAGATACTTAACGGTGCCGTTGGATCCTGATACGTAAGAAGGGTGGCATCCGTAATAGCTTTCTTTACCTGAGTAAAAGCATGTCAAGAAGACGCGTCGAGTTCGATAGACTTGTTATTCCCTCGAAGGAGATCTGTTAGTGGCTGAATCAGAGAAGCACAGTTAGGGATAAATCGTTGGTAATAACTTACCAAGCCGTTAAAAGTGCGAAGACTTTTCACTGTCTTTGGCTCTGGAAAGTTCAGTATTGCCTCGACTTTACTGGCCAGCAGGCGAACGCCATTGCAGTCAATGGTATGGCCCAGAAAGTCGAGTGAGTCAACGCCTATCTGACACTTTTGAATATTGATGGTAACCCCATGTTGGCGTAACCTTTCAAATGCCAAGTCCAAGTGTCTAAGGTGAGTTTCCTTATCTGGACTGGCGATGAGGCAGTCGTCTAAGTATGCGTATACAAAGTCGAGGACGCGAAATACTTCGTCGAGGAAGCGTAGGAATGTTTCTGGAGGCCGAATGGCATGCGTAGAAATTCAAAAAGTCCGAAAGGCGGGATGATAACCGTCTTTGGAATATCTTCTGGTGCCATCGGGATTTGATTATACGCTTTAACCAGGTCTATTTTGGAGAATATAGATGCGCCAGATAATGTTGCCGTCAAGTCGTGTATGTGAGGCAATGGATAGCAATCGGGTGTTGCTTTGGCGTTCACTCGCAGGTAATCACTAGTGGGTCGCCAATCGTTACTATCCTTTTTCTGTACCATATGCAGTGGGGGTGCTCATGGGCTATTTGATGTCTGAATAATGCCAAGGGTGAGCAAATGGTCGAACTCATTTCTAGCAATTCCCAGTTTGTCAGGGGCCAGTCGTCGTGCTTTAGATGTCACGGGCTGTCCTGAGGTTACGATGTGGTGCATAACATTCCTGGTTATGCACGGGAGATCGTTAGATGGGCAATTCAGTTCCGGATATTTGTTAACAATCGGTTGAAAAGTTGGATCAAGGATTGCCTTCATTTTAACGAGTGACAAGCTGGGTCCTATGTAGGTGATGCCTTTGGTAGACAGACTAGTAGTATTATCAATCAGTCGTTTTCGGCGGACGCCTATGGGTTAATCGTGACGATTGAGTAGGTCCGTGCCAATGATGGGCATTGTGACGTCGGCGATAAGGAAAATCCACTAGATAGGTTTGCGTAAACCTACGTTCAGATAGACGTATTTCCGACCATAGGTTGCAATTGGTTTTCCATTTGCAGCCTGTAGGTTGAAGTTAGGATCCTTCTGTCGATCTGCTGCTGTAGCAGGAAGGACGCTGACTTCGGCGCCTGTGTCGACTAGATATCTAGTCTGGCTCATTACATCATGGATGTAAAGTAAGCGGCTAGTGCCCCCGGCGAAGGTTGCCGCTAACGCGTGCCGGCGGGATAGTTTCCCACAGACTTGGAGGCTTTCCCGGAATCACAAGGTCTTCGACAGCATTTCGCTTCCTGGCCATAGGTGTTGTGATACCAACACCAGTCAGGATTTTTGAGAGAACGTGTGTTGGACTTAAATCGTCCACGTGCGTTTAGCGGTTGAGGGGATTTAGAACGACGGTAGGAGGAATTGCTAGGCTT